GTGAGGAGGAAAAGGGCAGACTCGGGGAACTTTTGCTGGTTGCCATTGCGCACAAGCCTCGCTGGAAGGATACTCGGATCTCTCATCGTGGGCTAGCCTGGCGGTCGTTGGTGATTCTTGGTTGGCTGTCTCCTTCTCGGATGATCCCGTTGTGTGTTTGCAACCTTGCTCGTGCAGGCACTTGCCGCGCCGGCAGGCAGGCTTCTGGCCCCGCTCGGCAACACCCCTGCACGTGGGGTCAAAGCTTCAACGCCAAGAGATTTGGAGGCGAACTCAACCGCGCTCGAGCTCAGAGAAGCTGCGCGCCGTCACTGCAATCAACCGCATACATTCGTTAGTAACCATCGCCACGATGTCGAGACGCCCGCCGAGAGGAGAATACATCGAGACCGTACGTGGATATTTTTGGCACTGCTTATCTTCGCACTCACGGCTAACGCGCGGTCGGCAGGACACGGGCAACAAGGTCGCGCGAAAGGCGACGCTTGTCGGTACTCAGAACATCATGCTCGGCGGCAAAACAGTTATCCAGCCCGAAGTCATGATCCGTGGCGACCTCGCTCGCTCGATCCCCTCGTCATCCTCTTCTTCGAGCGGTGCTCCGCCCAACAACACGGCCGTGGCAATCGGCCGCTACTGCTTCCTCAGCAGAGGGTGCTGTCTGCGGCCCCCGGGCCGGCTGTACAAGGGGTAAGCCACCTTCTCTTCGATACCCGATTCCAGGGACTGACCGCGCAGTGCTTTTACCTATATGCCTCTCCGAATGAGCGACCACGTCTTCGTCGGCCCCGGCTCCGTCGTCCAAGCAGCCTCCATCGGGAGCCACGTCCACATCGGCGCCAAGGTCGTCATCGGCGAGTTTGCCATCATTAAGGACTACGTCCGCATCCTCGACAGCGCTGTTGTCCCGGCAAATATGGTCATACCAAGCTTCAGTATTGTTGCGGGGCAGCCCGCACGTATCATTGGCGAGGTGCCCGAGGGTGGCCACGACGAATTCGAGCTTCGCGATCTCTACAAAACGGTTGGGAACAATCCGCAGCCGGCTCCTTCGTGAAGGTTGTCGGAGAAAGAGCAAGCGTTATATCTATATCATCCTTAGCTGGAACCATCTGGCTAGGCGCGGGCGAGCAAGCGCAAGTCCCCGAACGGCAAACCCGCGCGGCGCTGAAGATCTTTATCGCGACCATCACCGGTTGACGGAGCCCAGACATGCGGATGGACGTGGGAGCGTGGCCTGAATGTGTCGCCGCCGCAAATGGAAGCTTGGATGGACACAGCGTCATCAACAAAGACTTGGCAACGGTCAGTGTTGGGTATCATTGTTATGGTCTACCTAGCGATAACGAACAATCGACAAGCCGCATCAGTTCGCAAAGTCCCCGTACTTGTGACTTGTCAAGCCTCCCTTCTCCAGCTTCAACCAACTCTTCGCGTTCTCGTCGACGCTCGTCTCCAAACTCGTCCACTGGCTTTGGCCCACTCGCTTCAGCAATTCTAAGCCCATGTCACGCTCAACAACAGCGTCGGACCACCCCAAATCCTGTGGCCTCGCCATCTTGTCCGCCCTCTCGGGATACATATCCTTCAGTATCTCAGCCACCTTGTACCAGCTATACCTCTCCCCAAAGACATACACTCTCTCCCGATCGAGCCTCTCCCCGGTCGCCAAAATAGCCACATAGACTCTCGCCATATCCCGACAGTTGACATGCCACTGCGGCTGCATCATATCCAGCACATCAACATACTTGTTCTCCCACACCCACTGGACCATACCCGCTGTGCTGGGAATCCCCTGATGCGCCGGATCCAAACACTCACCCATGACGGTGTCCACCAACAGCGCGTTGAACGCAAACCTGGGCTTGTGCTTCTCAACCCACTCCCAAACTCCCCGCTCCACCAACATCTTGAGCGCCATGAACCCCGTCATCCCGTCTCCTTTACCCTCTCGTGCATCGTTCAACGCCTCGTCATTCCAGCTATCCCCGTTGAGAACAACCTTTTGCCCAGCCTTGGGCGTCCAAGCAGCCCATGCCGACGACGTGAACGCGAACGACTGGATACTCGACTGCTGAGCACATGCTTCGAGGAGGTTATACTGCCAGCGCAGTTCCTCCTGCGCCACTTTGTCGGGGTTTTTGACGTTGATGTCAACGGCTCCGAGGACGTGTGCGACTGCGGATACCCCACGGACGGCCTCGCTCCAGGCATTGGCGACAGCTAGGTCGGAGACTTGGACGAGCGAGAAGCGGTCTGACCCGTGCCGCTTTTCGTAGAGGTCGGTGAGATAGGACGATTTGGAGAGGGAGCGAACGGTGCCGCGGACGCGAAAGCCTGCGAAGAGGAGCTGGTCTGTTATGTGGGAGGCGATGAGGCCATTGGCGCCTGTTACGAGAATGAGGGAGTCGGGGTCGAGGAGAGGGTCGGTGAGGGAGATGGAGGGCCTCGAGGGCAGGGAAGTGGGGGTTAGGACACGCATTTTGGTGCTGATTCTGTGCAAAAGATAGAGGAATGTCGGAGATGGATCCTTGGTGGGAAATTTGTTGTTTTGAGGATGGGCCTGGGCTGGTCCTTGTTCGAGTCATGGAAAGGGGCTTGGAGGGACCGCTCAGAGCCCAACATCGACGGTGGTCGACGACGACTTGCGCGTGGCGAACAACCTGACACAGGCCCCCGTGCTGTCAACTCGACCGTCCAATGTCGTACGCCAGTCAAAGCCAGCAAGCGTGGACAAGGGCCATCGACATCCAGATGCTATTCCCACCCTAACCCTGTCTCACCCCTATTCCCAGTCAACAAGCCCCCTCCCAACCTTCACATCCACGTCTACAAATAAACATAGCAAAATGGCGTCCCCCCAAGCGTATCAAGAACATCCTTGATCGTCACCGCCTCTCCCAATCTGCCCACCTCCAACAAATCATCCACCGTCCCCTCCCGACTCGGCGGATTATTCCGAAACGTGATGGTCCCATTCACCTTGTTCGCCTCAGCGGGATGCAAAACCTGCCACATCCAATACACCCGATCCACCATGGCATGATGCAGATAAAACGCCGGATCGTTCAGCGACGTGTACACATCCGACCCGTCACCGCCCATGGCGTAGTGGCCTGCCCCGTGAAGCCGCAAAGTCCCGCATGGACCTTGCAATTCGTCCTGGAAATGGCCGATCGTTGCGGAGGCAGCGCCCACGGTCACGTTGAGCAGGTTCTCGGCGGTGAAGGTAGATATGGGTGCTGCTGTCGTCAAATCGCGGCGTTGGCAGCGCGGGTCAAGCCGTTTGACGTCGGTGAAGACGGGGGTGTAGTTTTGCATGGCGGGTTGGACGGGGCCTATATTAATAGTGTAGCTGGGTTGTTCGTTAGTCGTTGGTCGGGTTGATGGTGTTGGATGGGGGAGTCGTACCCGACGAAGGGTCCGGAGTTTACGCAGCCGCCGCCTTTGCCAGAGGGTAGCCAGATTCGGCCTGCGCCGACGACGCTGCCGTTGTGTGGGAAGAAGTCGCCGTCGCCGCCGAGGCTTGTGTCGCTGCCGTCGAAGGCGGGGGATTTGGAGAGGTCGGATTGGTGTTTGAACCAGTTCCAGTACTGGGGATGTTGATGCTACCTTACTTCTGGCTGGGAGGGGGGCGAGACATACTGGGAGATATCCCTTGTAACCACACCGGTTTCGGAGTTTCTGTTCCCAGAGATAGATGAAATAGCGGTGCCAAGGCAGAAAGTTGGCTGTGCCGTGAATGGTATTAGTTTGGTTCATGTGTACCGCGACGTAGTCGTCAAAGTGGTTTTGGGCGGCGGAGAAGTCGGTGTCGACTGAGGGAAGAGCCCAGAGGCATTTTACTGCGTTGATGTAATCTTTCCTCTCGTTCTTGGAGAGGAAGTCCCTGTACGTGAACGTCAGTGTGTTGGTGCAAAGGAGCTTTTCATAAGAAATCAGGGATCTCGGAATGTGGGGGAGTCTTGGGCGGATGAGCGGGTTGGGGGGTTCAAGGTGATTACCAGTCTCTACGAATTGCAGCGCCCGCGAGAGTGCATCTGCTTCCACCTCTACTCAATGCGGTAGTCTCTGAAAGTTTGGCTTCGACTTGCTTCTGAAGATCTTGGAGAACGGCGCTGGCATCATTCACATCTTTCGATGGAGCAGCCGTGGCGACTGCAGCGCCTAGAAGTACCGCCAACGAGAAGCGCATTTCAGCTCAACGATACCGCCAAACCGGGCTTTTTGCTGACGAGCCGATCAAAGAGGTAGAGGGTAGGTAGATATCAAGACGGCACCTCTGAGAACATGGGATCGTCAGTCGTTTGTACCACCCCAGATTCACCGCGCAAGCGTTACCAGATCCAGAATTCAGGAAGGTTGACCCTTGAGATTCAATAACAATAACCGCGCGGATCCCGGGTCCGATATCCGCCCAATGCAGATCTATGCCGCTGCGGGTGGTTCGGTACCGAATCGCGGTAGCAATTGGAGTGAGATCCCCTCAACCCCACTGATCCGTTCCAATGGAAGAACTCGGGCTCGTACAAGACGACCAGGATGGTGAGACTCACATATTCGTATATTTTGTTCAGATGTCAGAGGCGAATAAGAATAAGGTGCTTTTCATAGATGAGGCGACTAAGGTAGGCAACATGGACATCTTTGAGGCAAACAACCTCAAACTTCAAGATCAACCGACCATGTCGATAAGCGCCGACCGCAACTACTTAAGTCTCATCTTCAAAGCTTACCGTTTTTTCATTTCGGTTCCTTGACTGCGCTTGGATACTCAGACGAATCTTGTGTAACTCTGAATCCAACGACGCGCGTTGGCAACCAGGTTGTGGTTGCCCAGACCCGGTGAAGATGCAGGCAAAACGGGCAGGCAGGCGCCCAAGTTACCCGCGCCAATGGCATGCAATCCTGGCGCAAAGCTTTCTTCACACCGTTAAGGTCGGCACCGGCGCCCTCTGTATATGGGTAAAATTTGCGGATCACTTTTGAACAAAACAGGTCGGATGGTGTAATGGTAGCACGTCCTCGTCTTGAACATTGTAGTGGAGGGATGCCCAGTCCGAATCTGGTTCCGACCCTTTGTGTTTCTGGTGACTCACCTTTGGGTTTTGGATCGGGTAGGAGATCCGGAAGGCGCCCCTGTGACTGTTCCTTCCAATAAAGTGAGACCAAAAGTTCCAGCGGCTCCTTTCCGCAGCCTGCATATTCAGTCTCCGGCAGGCAAGTCCTTGAGCTCCCTGTGGAAGTGCGGGGATGAACTCGTGACTGCAGCTGCGACTCAACTCGGCGCATCCGCATTTTCTACCACCCCCTATTCTCAGACGAGCAATTCCCATCAATGGCCGGCCCACCGACAAACACCAGAGCTAGTTTCACCTACACCACCCTCCATGATTTTACCTCCGCCTCGTCCCAAACCGACAAAGCCACTCAAATTGTCCACGGCGCCTGGGAAATCCGGCTGCTTCGCCTCCACCCAGGCGTAACCACCAACTCCCCAATCCACTGCGACCTCACCCACGCCACCTTCAGCGACGTAAAACGCAGATATGAAGCCCTCTCCTACGTCTGGGCCGATGGCGTCGGTATCCACGACGATATCCCTGCTCCGTGTGAAATCACTGTCAACTCCATCCCCTTCCCTGTAACCCCCAACCTCTACGGCGCCCTGCAACGACTACGCGGCCGCGCTAGTGACCCAGACCGCGTGTTGTGGATCGATCAAATATGCATCAATCAAAACGACACGGCGGAGAAAAACTGGCAGGTTGATCGGATGACGCTGATCTACGGGTATGCCAAGCAAACGACGATATGGCTTGGAGGAGATGCGGACGGGAGTTTCAGGGCGCTGTTTCTTGTTTCTGGGCTCGCTGCAGTTGCGCGCCTCGCCACCAGGGAGGAACGGGTTGCAGCTGCGGTGGATCGGTATGCTGACCAGGCGAGATGGGACGCGTTGGGGAAGTTGATGGAGAGAAAGTGGTGGTTTCGTACCTGGACTGTGCAGGAGTGTGTGCTTCCGCGGTTGGGAAGTTTGGCTGTGAGATGCGGGGTCAAGGAGATACCATGGACGGATTTCATATCTGCTGTGCGACTGATGGATGAGCTTCGACAGGTGCTGCCGCTTTGTGTTGGGACTGTGAGTGTTTCGTCGGTGCTGGAGCTGCAGGTGGGGAGGCGCAGAGCTGCTGCGCGGGGCGAGGAGAAAGGTGATGGAGATGGTTTGGATACGTTGCTTCAGGCGCTTGCAAGGTATCGGAGGCGGTTGGCGACAGACCCGAGGGATAAGATCTATGCGATTATGCGCATGGCGAGAGACTTTCGGGATGCTTCTGAGGAGGGTCGAAGGTTGCTGCGGGTTGACTATGACAAGCCTGCAGAGGAGGTATACACCGACGTGGCAAAGTTTTTCGTGGATTTTGGGAAGACGCTTGAGTTCCTGGGCCATTGTCGGTTGACAAAGAATTTGGCTTCTCTTCCGTCGTGGGTCCCTGACTGGTCGGATACCAACGCCTCCCCTGCCCCTTTTCATACTTCCAGGGACCTGACTGTAGGATATGATCAACCCTCTAACTTCCACGTTTCAGGGACAAGTCTTGTCTTACATGGGAACCGGATGGGGAGAGTTGATGCTTTGGGCGATCCTTGTCTTGAGCAGGACGTGTCCCCTACCGGCTCCAATCTTTTTGCAGCTTGGCGTGGTATTTTTTCCAGTCAACGATTCACTGACAGCGCTTCAAAGGAGGTTGAAGATGAAGAATTTGTTCGTGTCCTTGTCGCCAATCGTGGACCGAGGAAGGAGGCCTTGGATCGAGAGGCAATGCGGGATTTTGTTGGCACATACCGTCGATGGTTTGTCAATACAGAGCCCGTCAAGGGTGAGCTGGCCACCCCTGAAGCGATGAAATTGGTGGAATATTTGGCATCTGTCAGGAGAGCATGTGTGAACAGACGCATTTTCGTTTCCGGAACCGGCTTCTTGGGTTTGGCTCCGCAGGAAACTGCCGATGGGGACTTGATAGTCTTCAGCTCGGCGGCCGGATTATCCTTGGTTCTACGGCCATGCTCCACGCTAGAGTACACCTTTGTTGGGACATGGTATGTTTTCAACCTAGACACTACCGTCCACCGAGAAAGTTTTTGCCGTGGAGCCATCCCTGTAAATGGCTGACGCTTTCTGGATGTAGTTTTATACTCGAAGGCACTCGGTCTCCATGTCCTTCGAAGACGGATTCTTTCACTTTGATTTAGCTGGCCGATTGAGCCTAGGTGAGGTACCTAGGTACCTATGTCAGAAGATGACTCGCAACTTTGTGGAAGTAGATGGGCGTGTGAGGTGGAGTAAAACCAAGTTGCTTCGTCAAAACAGGACGCCTTTTATCTGATATGCTAGCACACGTCTCGTACCGACCTGGCACGGAAACGTTTTTATCCATCTAAATCCAAATCATCATTCATAATTCCTGAGAAAAGCCGTCTAGCCCATCGTGTACCATGATCCCATTGTTCATATCCCATGACCCATCATTACCCGTCCTCAAGGTACCAAGCCAATGCGTGTGTCTCTGCAGGCTCACAGCCACATCCACCGTCCAACAACCCTCCCCTTGCTCTCGACCGTCAGCATATCAAACACACCCGGCGCCAGATCCGGATCCACCATCCCGCACCCCTCACACCGATCAACAACCACCACATCAACTGCCATCTCGCCCCTCCCACTCTCGCTGAAGCCCCGCATGACGCGTATCTTGCGTCCACGACCACATCAGCGTGGGCCAGTGAAGAACGAACAATCACTAGACCTTTATCTGGGCCCATTGTTCTGAGAACTGGGGCCGCCATTGAACCATCCCAGAACCCGATACTGGTTCGACGGCGAAAAACAGAAAAGTAGAAAGAATTGAACAGGAAGTGCTTGTTTCACTCCATCTTTTCCCATGGTTGAATGCCCTCATGGGAGGGATGGCCATGTGGCTCGATGATGAAGTTGTTGCTGCAGGGGCAAAATGTTAGCAGCGACCTTACAGTGAGAGATGAAGTGGGCCCCGAACTGAAGCGACGGTGAAGGGCGGCGCACCGTTGCAGCAGAAACGACTCGGATGACGCGAAAACCAGTCGTGCATTGCTGCCAAATGCATTGGGCCAATGGCCGTTCCCACATGCTTGTTGCGGCAGGCGTACCCTCGCCTGGTTTGGTCTATGTCCCTCGGTGGTATCACGTGGTGGGTGGGTTGGATTCAAGACGACGCATATGCCGAAGCTGCTTGAAGGCAACGACAAGACCGATGATGCTGCAGACGGTTGCGACGGATGCGGTGATACCAAACACGATTCCTTGGGCCGCTGTGGCGCTTGAAGACGCCCACTGGGCCTCAAGTGGAGGTAAGGCCGTGGGTGAGGGCGCAGGTGTGGCTGTGCTGGCGTCGTCGCTGATCTGCACTAGTGGCAACGAGGAAGGTGGGAGCCGCATCGGGAAGGTTTAGTGTGGTCTCTAACGAAATGGTCTGATGCATTTCTGGAAGTGATAACAATTGCGAGGACAGTGGGAGAGGAAAACCTTATACTCTCCTGCTCCTGACCATTGCTCGTTATCCACCAACGCAGCCTCAATTGAATCGGGGAAGCCTTGGTCGGCTTGCACCCTGAGTGTGGGGGCAACGTCAGGGCCAAACTGCCCTGTGCGAAGCTGGCGCTACCCCCTGTCGTGACCAGTCAAGGGGATTCTACTTACCCGTTACACCAAGTAGCTTCGCCTGGGTGCCGAACGGCCACCCGCCTTGCATCAGCAACACTGATTGGTTGGCCGCTTGAGGTGCCGCGTAGGGAACGCAAGGGTGTACTGTGTAGTACTGCACGAATTGTGGGAATTCGTCTGGCGGTGTCGTGTGCCAGACAACTCAAGTGGCAAGTGGACGGAATTCTTGGCTGTTGTATTACCTTGATTGGCCAATACATCATGATATGCGCGCAGGCGCCGAGGCCGATCGGACGTTGTGGCACTCGACCAACTTGCATGCAATGACAAACAAACACGGCAACTGCCTGCAGCGGCCCCAGCGGATCGAATTCGTTCCTTCCTTGCGCCAGTTGTTTCGGGCAGCCATCGGTGGGGGTCTTTGACAGCACCCCTAGTTCATGTCACGGATAGCAGATTCGATGCACAAAGGCACAAGATTAACTGACTATGACTTGTGGAATTTTAGTGTCAGGAAGAAAATAAAAAAAGAAACAAGGTACTTACACCATGTATAAAAGCCCGTGCCCCCACTAGGAAGGCGGTGAAGGTGGATGCTTCTGCCAGGGATTCTGCCAAGTGTTCTGCCAGTAACCCACACTGCCATTGGACAAGGCCTGATCAGATGGCTGGCAGTGCCAGGACCTGTCAGCCGTCGCAGAGAGCCATTTGAACCGCCTGACGTTGTTCCCAGGTCTCGGATAGATCGCGTTCATTGCAAGAGACTGTGATATGATTAAAGAAACACAAGACCAATAACATGCTCCTCACCCTCTTACGACTCGATATATGCTCCTCCCCTTCGACACTGTTGCAAAGGGGTAACGTCCGACCTCATCTCAGAGATTTCACATTTTATAGCGTGGAAGTAGCATTTCATGACTTCGTCTTTGTCGAAGGACAAGTGTTGTGGACGGGGCAAGTGGAAGCGGTTGCGGCGGAATGGCGTTCGCTCTGCCGGTATGTCGTTGTTCAAGAAGGAGGCGACGAACGTATCCAGGCTTTGCTTCTCTAGCGATAGCCGAGCAAAGGAGAAGGGAGAGACAAGTGGACAGGATGTGACTACGAGCTTTTTGGGAGAGTTCCTGGAAACTGGTCGGCTCCGAGTCTCGATAGAAGCGGTGGAGGTTGGTCACGTGGCATATGATTTCGCCGTCAGCCAAAAGTGAGTCGGTTGACACGGCCGGGCCCAGAGGCAGAGATGGCGTTATCCAGTCCAGGACTTTCCGACTGTGGACGAATGTTGAGGGCGAAGAGCAGTTTTGCCAAGACGAAGGTTGGCTCGCAACTTCCTTCAGGCCGGAACAACTCATTTTGGTGTCTTAGATGATCTTCGAACTT